TCCGATTCAGGCCTACCGCCTGTCTACGGTTTCGTCTCAGTACCACCTACGCAACCACACCACTCACGGTCCCAAAATCTTCCCGGATAAGAAAGTGACCAAAATCACCCTTAACCCAGGAATAATTTAATATTTTCCCCTAATTAAATTAAATAGGAAAATAAACGGGGTCGGGGTGTTACATCACATGTGAAGAGCTCATAGTCCTATCCTAAAACACAATAATTCCGACCCAAAAAAAAGTCCCACAACACAATATGCCAGGGCCCAATATCAAAGTCATGAAGGAAGTTGAGGTTCTATATCAAAACTATTTGGTAATAAAGGAGTAGCCGAACTCCTTATAAACCAAGTTATGTCCCTTAACTTTTTAATGTAGGAAGCCTAACATGCAGACAATGCATATTAGGTGACGTCATAGCATGTGTGGTCGTTGGGCCCCAACACGATAAGCTCTGATACAATGAAGGAAGTTGATGTTCCAAGATTAGAATTACGTGACAAAAATAATAGTTTAACTGAGACATGTACACAATATATTAAGAATCATAGACTACTAGTATAAACCGAGAGGAAAGCTATATCCTCATTTGTTGTAGTCTTATGCTTTGACTACTCACTTACTGCCATTGCAGATAATGCAACAGACTCTGCCCTTTATGATCAATTTCACCTTGTGAATAGGTGGAGATTCAAGACTTTTGGGTCTCATCCACTTGTGCTCTTCATCAGATGATTCAATTACCAACAGCATCCCTGTTGATCATTCTTATGAAAGAAAAACAGGATAGTGGAGATGGCTCTTGGATTGGGAGGTTTAGCTGCATTTGTCATTCCCCAAATTTGCATTTCCTTTTCTTATTTGTTTTATCATTACAAGAGAGAGGTCATTGCCACAAGGAGCACGCCAAACTTGTAGAGGAGTTCCAACAAGTTTGTCACTTGCAGAAATAACAAAGGGGAGGCCAGAAAGCTTTTATGCTGATGTCCTCCATCCACCAACACTGTTTTTCTACAACTTGAGTACCTTCCGTATTCACCAGACTTAGTAATCCTTTCATCACCATAGCCTTCAATTAAAATAAGAAAGGAAAACCATTACAAAAGATACAACATAAAGAAATAAAAAATTTATTTTCCCTTCTTTTGGTCAGAAGTCTCAGAACTATACTAACATTTTTGACACATTATTTCACTATAGCAATAGTTTGATAATACAGCATATAATAACTTCTATAGCGATAGTTATTTTACTCGAGGCCTATATGAGGACAAATAATTTAGGAAAACACCAAAAGAAGAGGTAAGTGCAGAAGGAAAAAGGATATGCTGTTTTCTGTTAGCAACATAGGAGAATTGAGAACCTATCCATGTTAATTAACACACTGGCTGAAGTAGCACAACTTGAAGTTAAAGAAAATCTCAAATTTGGGGATGACCTACCCAACTGTATCAAACATATACAACATGTGGAGTGGACTTGAACCTACAGCAGAAACCATTCAAGCAGAATAAGATACCTCCCAAGTTACCAACCATGTTCTAAATGTTTCAGTTACTAACCATTTCAGCAGAAACCATCCAGCAGTGCAGAGACTCAGGTTCATCAACATTAAGGCCTCTTCCAATGTTAACGAGAATACCGTTTTCGCAAGCATCGATGACTACAAAATCAACAATGTCGTTGGTCTCCTCAGAAGTGATCAGAGTTCACACAACCAACTAACTCCATGGAACTTAGATGGTATTCCTTGTACTTCAACTCTGGCTTTGCCAATTCTTCCCAAGCCGATAATGCCAACTGTTTTTCCAAGAGAACTGAAATGAAATTAAGAAAGGAAAATCATTATAAAAGATACAACATAAGCAATTACCAATGAAAATAAGCTGATTTTACTTGACCACATTAGGCTATGTCCAGCACCTTTCAAAATTTAATTATGTTAATTGCTCCACTCCTGCTAATTTTTGTTGTAAAGCTAAAACTCACATTTCCTTTTGCCGCTCCTTCTCTGTTATTCTCTCTTCCCTCATGAACTAACCACCTCTCCTTTCCTTTCCTGATTTTCTATCAAAATAAATTTAAATAACAGCAAAGATGCAAATTTACACGCCTGCTGCAAAATCCAAAAGCAGCTATAATCGTAAAGCAGCAATGAGCAAGCCAAATAATGCAGCAAATTTCCTTCACTCACATTCCTTTAGAAACTCCAAGGAAAACGGCTGAATCAATAGCAGGCCTACACTTGTCCATATCTCCATATTCCTTGTAAATAACCTTAGCTCTAGAGAAATCTACCGAAGCTGTATATAATAGGAAATACTATACTCATTTCAATATAGTGGAAACAGAGGAAATATACGTACAATAATTACAATTCTCTCTGCGTCTTATTCTCTCATCCTTTTTTCCTAGATTTTTCACACACATTCTTTCTTCATTATTAACTATTTTCTCCTCTTTTTTTTCTTTTGGTCAGAAGACCCAGAACAATACTAACATTTTCCACACATTAATTCACTATAGCAACAGTTTGGTAACACAGCATTGAATGGTTGCTCTGAAAATGTTCATTTACTCGAGGCCTAAATATTCTAACACATTGTTCTCTATTTCCATGGCTTTCTCTTTCCATCGCTTTCTCTCTTTTCATGGCTCCCTCTATCGCTCTCCCACCACCCTATTAAGTTGATGATTGGAACAAACAATCGAGTTTGGGCAGCAGGGTCGCTCATGTATTGTTCTAATCCTTATGAGTTTTGGTTGGCTAAATGTATCGTTCCAGAACGCTAACATACCACGATTCGGTACGTGCGATCCAGTTTGAAATTCGTAAGGGGGGTGAGTGATTTGGGTAACTATGGTCAGTAGACTCAGAACCATACTAACATTTTCCACACATTATTTCACTATAGCAAAAGTTTGATAGCACAGCATTGAAAGGTTGCTCTGAAAATGTTCTTGTACTTGAGGCCTATAGGAAGTAAATATTCTAACACATTGAAATGAACAAGTTAATCCAAGTCATATCCACTCAGAAAATATCTCGAACATAGAAAAAGGGCAAACAATTTAAGGAAAAATGAAGTCCTGGAAGCAGAGCACAAGTTAGTTTTGTAAATCTATAGCATATTATATACATTTTAGGATTTGTTCTGTTGTTTTCTGTTTGCAACAGAGGAGAAATTATCATTTTTAATTAACACATTGATAAAAGTAACTATATGCAGGCTTAGTCCATTTTCAGACAAAACTACTTAGTAAGAATTACTCTCTCTCCTCCTACCAATGCATTGGTTGCTTTTCGTCAAATTTGAAGCTAGATGAGAGACAGGTATTATTAAATACTTCAAATTAAGCAATGATAGATAGATAGTGTCCTTCCGTCAGTCAGATTGACAAGTTTCAGAGCAAATTAAACAGTAGCTCAAAAGAAAAATGAAAATAAAAGGTGACTTACTGAGATGAATTCTGAGGATTGACCATCATCGTCATTAGCTTTTCAAGTATTATTTTGAGACCTCATTGAATGATTGCACCATGCACAAAATAATTTAGACTTTCTTCAATCTTTTGCCGACTGGTTCATCGTCCTCATCAGAGCTACCACTTCCAATACGACCAATTGGACCTGCCTCGTCACAGTACATCAAACGGCTGAATTCTTCCAAATCTCTCTTGTACACCAAACGGGCCCTACATTCCTTTATAATCGAGCTTGTTTTGAGTTCTTTCAAACCTCTAATTGAAGAATAATGCGTTACGAACGAAAACCGATGACTGGTTGAGGCATCCGTGAGGCTTGGATGATCGCGAGGCAAATAAAAAACACCAAGGTGTTCTGACGAAATCATCCAAATATACTTGAAGGTCATCCAAATATCTCTGAGATGATCGAACTTCAATTTTTAAATCCTCATATCCAAGAAGGGATGCGGGACTATCAAAATATTCAGAATCATAAAAAACAACACATAAAGCAATCCCAACCCAGTCGCTGCTATTTGATGGGTGTGGAGGGAGAGGCAGCTCCACAGTTATTGAATCTCCCACACTTGGATTACCAGACAAACGGTGTTCTGAAAAAGGACCTTAAGACTGTAATGAGTAGCATCATTAATAGCATGGCTTCAACCCTTGGCGCCTGTGGTGATCTTAACAGAAATGTTCTTGCTCCTCCTGCTCCAATACAAAGAAAAGATTACCTTTTCGCACAGCAGACTGCAGAGAACATTGCAGCACAGCTACTCATTACAGTCTTAAGGTCCTTTTTCAGAACACCATGGATCTGAAACGTTTGTCTGGTGGTCAAACGAAGTGAACCAATTCCAAACTTATCGGCAAGATCATCCATGGTCAAGTATAGTTAGTTTGGCACTTTTCCACAAGGGTTCAACCTATATGTTGGTGGTGGTATGGGAAGAACGCATAGGTTGGAAACCACTTTTCCCCGTTTGGCTGAACCACTTTTCTCCGTAAGGTCCAAATGTCTCAGCTTTTTTAGAACTGCAACATAGGGATGAACCTCAACTAAACTCGTACAAAAATCTAGCCACAAAATCTCAAGATTTGGAATGCCTGTGAAATCTGGGGTACTTGTCAATTGATCAGAGTAACTAAGGTCCATAAATTTCAAGTTTGGCAAGACCTGTACAGTACATAAAAATTGTAAAATAATAATTTAAAATAAACCCTTACTTAGTTGAACAAGTTACAATTTTATCCAAATTATGTATATATAAAAGAATTCTAAAACGCCATATTTCAATAATCTCTCACCTTTGCTCCATCCCAAAGACGGGAAAGTTTGCAGTCCCTCGTGTTTGGTTCAACAAGGAAACGTGGTTCGAAACTTGATGGGAGTGATTTAGAAGGGTACCAACTCCAACGGATAGTTCTTAAGGAATTTGGAAGATCTTTTGGGGCTTAAGAAACGATCACATTATCAAAGTGAAGAAGCCTTAATCCGTGCATCTTAGAGAAGGCTGCAGTATAATTCCAATCCACCTCTTCTAATTTCGGCAAACGCAAGCCAATGGCTTCAATTGCTCCGGTTCCCTAATAATTAAGAAAAAAATGAAAAGGTAATTGCACATTCAAGTCTAATATGTTTTAAAAGAAATGACATATATTTTCTTCCAAAAATAATATTTCTACATAACTTCTTACTGTATTGTTTATGATAACACGAGAGATATCATCGCGAAGCCACAAAAGACTTCGTTGACCAGGCTCTTGGATACACTCTTGACGAACAATTTCCCATGCCATTTCTTGTATCAAATCATGCATCTCAACAGTGTCGTTCCGAGAGTCTAATTGCAAACTTAGTTGCTCCGACTAACTTCTCTTGAGAATCTAACAACCTAAATGGAGTAACTTTGGTCCACACACGTTTGACAATGACTTTGATAAGCTCTCTTTCACACCTACAAGGAAGAAAAGTGAACTAACTATCAGGAGGGTACACATTACATATAATTAACAAGGTGTTGCATCAAAGGAAGAACTAAAACTTAGCATCCAAGTAAAGCCCTCTAAATTTGTTAAGAAATGGGCACGTTTCATGCATGCATGCTTACTGATAATTCTTTGAATCCAACCCAGAGAGATTGGCAACTTCTTTTAAAGCATCTCTCCACCGCTTCACCTTGTCTACATCTTCACTGAACTTTTCTTCATGCTTAGTGAATGCTTCCGTAAAACTCGCCCTTCGATTTCGCACATCATAAGGATCAACCTCATAAAAGATTGGTATAATTCTCTTGCTGTCTTTCATGCATTCAAGAATTTTTGAAAGTTCATCCAAGCACCAGGTGGAAGAAGCGTAATTTGGGGAGAGAATAATGATGGCAAGATGTGATTGTTTGATTGCGGTCAACAGCTCCGGAGAAATACTTGCTCCTATTTCAAGGTCTCTGTCGTCCTCGAAAGTTTTTATTGCTTGCCAGTACTGCAGTTCGTGGTATAAATGAGATATAAAACCCCTGCGAGTGTCCTCTCCCCTGAAACTCAAAAACACATCATGCTTCCAATGTGGAGGAGCCCATTCAGCGGAAGTACCAGATGTAGAGGCTCTTTGGGTGCTCAGGGCCATTGGAAAAGAAAAACAGGCCCTATAAATCAGGTAGCTTTAGTTTATTTTTTGGTAATTGAAAATGTATTGCGCAAATACCCAGCAAAACAAACTAGAGATCAATGAAAAGGACACATAAACTCTAACAATAAGCTCAGCGAATTGGCAGGAAAAGAACCAACCGAAAAAAAAAAACAAGATGCAAATTTGACTGTCTGCAGAAGACAAAAAGGCACTGAAAATACTCAATACGAAAGTTGTAGGCAATATATAGATGAAAAAGAGAGGGATGTAGGAAAGGAAATAATGGAAGAGGGAGACAGAAAGACAGAGATGGAAAACTGTGTCCGCGTATTGACCGTAGAAAACCGCACACGGTTTCATTTGGAATCTAAAGTCAATAAGAATATTTAACTGTCAAATTGCATAGGCAATAATAAATTGAAGGTAAGTTAGGTGGCTATTAAAATAATCTCGGTCAGCCAAATTTTGCAATCATCATCATAGCACAAGCCATAAAATAATTAAACTAGAGAGCCAAAAGACATAGCAAGAAACTGAAGAAACAACGAGGAAATCCTAAACAAAGAGCTGAACACTTCCAATACCCACATAAGGTCAAGGAAAAAAGAAAGGAAAAACCTGTACTACCATAGTGTTATAAACTTCTAAGCAAGTTCCCAACCCTTTTATTTGAGAAAAATATTCCCATCTTTTGTTTTTATTTCTCTTAGGCCCTGTTTAGTTCACAGAACGGATTTGAGGGAAAATCATTTATCAAGGAATGGCAAATGAAGATTCATTTATCATGTTTGGTAATCCTGGGAAAGTAATCAAGAAGTACCACTTTATTTCCTTTAACATATTTGGTTTGTGTATGAATGCAAAACAAAGTTTGTTTAATTTTCCAATTATACCCATATGAAATCAAATAAAACAAGAATGCATCTAATGCTATATTATAATTCTAAATTGTTAATGGGGACAATATGGTCATGAAATATGTGTATTTAATGTTGACTCATTTTTCCAAACTTTCCCTTGAGGAGGAAAACAAAACCCAAGTGGGGAGGAGGGCTTCACTTTCCCCCCTACTTTCCAATGTACAAGGCAACGATTTCTCATGCATGGACTTACCAAACATAAGAAAGTAATTGATTTTCCATCCCCAAGCCTCTTTTCCTATGAAATTTTGGCAATCAATCGGAAGGTGACACGTAGAAAAGGGAATATGCCCTAGGTTAAATACTTATGCCAATTATATATCATTTAATTAGCCAATTATCTTGACTTAAAATGAGAACATTTTCCTTAAATCAAAGGATTTGATTGACATCAAATCTCCTTGATACACTCTACCTCCTTATTCAAGAGAGAGAATAATTAATTATTCTCCACAAATCCTACCAAAGATGGACTCTATATAAAGACAAGTTATCTACACACATGAGGTAATTCTAAACCTAATTTCGATAACCCCAGTACAAACACAAGGCTCACGCCTCCTCTCTCTCTCTCTCTCTCTCTCTCTCTCCCCCTCTGCTCTGCCGACCTCCCTCTCACTCTCACCTTCGGCCGACTTTCTCTCCCTCTCGACGTCCCCGAAAAGCAAACTCCATACCTTTATGTTTTCACTACTACAAAAAGTGATAAAGACGACTAGAAAAAAACGACGGTTTAAGGGAAAATCGTCGTTGTTTTTTAAAAGATGACGGTTCTATAAAACCGTCGTGTAAGAACAACTTAAACACCTAAAAAATGGAGATTCCAATGGTTGTTTCTAAAAAACGACACACCTAATTAAAAAAACGATGTCTTATTGAAAAAGGATTTCCGCAAAGAAAAATCTAAGCCAACAAAGAACAGCAGAAGGTATGAATAGACCGACGTAGAAAGTAAAGACGATAGTGTAAAAAAAAGCCGCCGTTTTTACTCGGAAATTAACACGACCAAGTTTTCGTATAAGGCTCCGTATAATTACAAATAAATCCACGGCGGTATAATACAAAATACCGCCGTATTAAATTAATGTACAACGACGGCAAAGATAAATTTATCGACTTCTTTCTTGTATAGTTCTACGACGGTATCTTTAACTCTCACCAAGTTGGGGTTTTTCATTTAACGACGTATTATAAAATTTACCGTCGTATTTATGCACTTTATATGTCTACCCTGATATCTAAACCGTCGTCTTAATAATATTATTTTTTACTATTTATTTATTGGATTTTGTTCTCCTACGACAGTAGACAAACTTAATGACAAAAATTGTAAATAACCACGACGGTTTATATAGAAAACCGCCGATAGAATCATATTTTTCTAAGATCCCAAAAGATACGTCGTGAACTTAAAATTACCGTCGTATTTATTCACTTTATACGTCATACCTTATATTTAAATCGTCGTGTTAATAGGAATTTTTTTTAACAATTTATTTCTTGGATTTTGTTATCCTATGTCGGTAGATCAACTTAATGACAAGAATTGAAATAACCACGACGGTTTATATAGAAAACCGCCGACATAATCAGATTTTTCTGAGATCCCAAGGGTTACGAAATCTTACCAGATGGAACTCTGTTCCTCATCATAATCGGACCATAGAAAGACAATATTTTAGAGGTTAATGATGTATGTGTATTTGTGTCTTTGAGATACACAAACGCACACACACATCAACATCCAAATAATTGCCTCCTAAAATTTGACCAGGGCAGCCCCAGATTTGCATTCAGAGAGACAATTTTTTGAACGTTGGTGATGTATGTATGTTTGTGAATCAATACACAAACATACACACACACACCAACATCCCAACAATTGCCTCCTAAGAGGTGAGACAGAGAAAAGGGCAAGAAGAAGTTGAAACCCTAATTGAAAACTAAAACTAAAAGAACTCGTGAAAAAAAACTCTATTTATAATTAAAAAAATCAAATCCATGTCGGTTATATTACACTTAACGACGTTTAACAAAAAGAATCTACGTCGGTCCGTACCAACCCTTTAGACGTATAAAATACTTCCCACATCGGTTATGGTATTTCCATGACGTAGTACAGACATAGTAGGGCGGTTTATTAGACACACCACGACGCGAAACAAATATATTGCGTTGTCTTAGTCTCAGAGCAAAAAACCAACGACATAATCAATTAAGTAACTAACGTAAAAATGAAAGATGTCAGTAATTATAAACCTACCGCCATCTTACTTTAATATACTACGACGACATCTGTAGAACAAAAAAAGACGACGGTAGAACAAAAAACCGTCGTTGTTTTTATCTTCATATTTAGATGCTGAGGCAATTTTATTATTTGATTTTAATAGTTTGGTCTATTCTCTTTCTGCATGACTTGGATAGTTCAAAGTATTGGCAATGTCTTCATCATATCTCCCAGCAACTACTGATTCGATTGCTCAGGCTTTAGAGGCCAAAGCCCTATCTGAAGCCATTTATATTCTTTATCACATTCTTGAAAACCCATCTTCTTCTTATGAAGCTCTACGGATAAAGGAACAGGCTATCACCAATCTGACGGATCTTCTTAGATAAGAAAATCGAGCAGAGGATCTTCGTAACCTTCTCACCCAGTTGAGGCCTTTCTTTAACTTGATTCCCAAGGCAAAAACTACAAAAATTGTACTTAGTATTATTGATTCAATAGCTAAAGTACCAGGCACATCTGATCTTCAGATTTCCCTTTGCAAAGAAATGATGCAGTGGACCCGTGCTGAGAAGCGAACTTTCCTTCGATAGCGAGTAAAGGCCAGGCTTGCATCTCTTTTGATGGAAAGCAAGAAGTATTGAGAAGCACTAAGTCTCCTATCAGGCTTGATCAAGGAAGTGAGAAGGCTAGATGACAAGCTTCTTCTTGTGGACATAGATTTGTTGGAGAGTAAGCTCCATTTCTCTTTGAGAAAGACAACGCGTCTTTGAGATACACCAAAATGCATACATCATTAACATCCAAATTATTGTCTTTGAGATGTGAGAGAGAGTGATGATGCATGTGTGTCTGTGAGAGAGGAAGACGAGCCTCCAGAAGAACTTGGAACCCTAAATGAAAACTGAAACTGAAAGAAAGCGTCAAATTTATACAATAAATCTTTAAAACCCACAGCGGTCCTTACACACAAACCGCTGTTTAATTGTAAACATCCACGTCGGTTATTCTTTAATGGAATCCACGTCGTATATTATAACATAATCCACATCGGTATGTTACAAAAACATGACGTGTTAAATCTATGTACCATGACGTGAGAGATTAATTTATCGACTTATTATTTTGGAGTGTACTACGACGGTACCTACAACACTACTGTCGTATTTCTATTTATACTTCTGCCTTCTTTGTAAACCGCCGTCTTATTTTTGTTGCTTTTTAAAATTAATTAATTTTTCTTTTATTTGGGTAATATCTTTCTTAATATCTATCAGAAAGAACTACTGCCAAGCTGGACCCTCTCCTTCCTCTTGTTCTCAAGCTCCTGCACAGACACAAATCAATATTTAATAGGAGCAATATTTAAAAGGCAAATCTCTACTTATCAAAAAATATAAATCAACAAAGTGTATAACTTAAACATAGACATCGGTTAACAATAAAGTGAAGTCGTATAAACATAATTAACCACGATGCTATATGAAAAAACCGACATTGAAGAACATATCGTCGTGGAATTATATATAAACACGGCATTTTATGAAAATTAAGGGTCGTTAAAACAATTTACTAGGGCGGTGGAAACATATACCGACGTTTAATATATAATACTAGGGCGCTTTCTATTAATCGCGTTGTTTTATGAAACGGTATGTGAATATATTCAACTTTTCGTCTACCTGACTTACACTTGCACTGTTTCCAAACCCGAGAAAAAATTTCAATCTCTGAGAGAAAACTTTTCGTCTTTTTTCCTTCTCAGAGCACTGTCGTTTATCTCATTGTCTTCCTCTGGTCTTCGTCATCGTCTCTGAACTTAAACACCAAACTCCGAGAGAAAGCTTTCATTGCATGCAAAAGGTAAGCATTTCTCACTATTTTTGTTACTGTTTTGCATGCTCATACTGTTTTTGTTTTGAAAATCTTTTTAGCTTTTTTTCTAGCCAAAATCATTTTAATTCTTTCCAAGTTTGATAAAATATACAGACAAAGAGGGAAAGTTTCCAACTTTGAACACAACTCTGTTTATTCTACTTCAACTAAATAA